TAGTGTAACAGAAGCTTGATTAGTGGAATTTTTGCTGGCATCTAGGTTTATGAACTCCACCGTCTTTACAGAACTCAAAGGAACATGATGGAAGAAATAAAAAAGAATGAACTACATAAACATCGGGCAATGATGGAACCATCATCGTCATCGTCTAGTCTTTATGGACCTCAAATGCCATCAGAAGATGCTCGAAAACGGCAAATTTTGAGCTTTCCTTTGTTGCATTCTGGTTATGGTAGAACATCTGTTTCGGGAGTTGAAATTATTAACACTCCTCCGAGTTGTACTTATGGTAATAACAAGCACACTGGACACTTTCCGTTCCATCACAGGTGTTCTCCAAAGGACTCTGAAGCACTTGATTCAAGACCCTCTAAGGTGAGGAAGAAGTTGTTCGATCTTCAACTTCCAGCCGATCAGTATATTGATACTGAAGATGGGGAGGAACGCATAGAGGACAGAAAAGTATCTGACATTTTGAGTTGTACACCTAATGGAGTTCAAAAAGTTGCACCTGATAGTAGTAGGAAGTTTTTCTTCGGTGGAGATGCTTCAGCTTCAAGTTCTTGTTTGAGGAGATCTACTGGGTTAGCTGATCTAAACGAACCCATTCTCGTTGAAGAAGTAATGGCTCCATCATCTGTTGATTTCCTTAGACGAACCTCAAATGTCGGAGAGACCAAAGGTGTAGATCTGTCACCTAAACCAAGTGCAGGATTTGTACGTGTACTGGGAGAAACCATATATAGCAATAACAGATCTTTGATAAATTCATCTATCGAGAGTGAATTCAAAGAGAGGGGGTGGCTCTCCCATGTATACGAAGCAGGTAAGTAGTTTTACTAAAATTGCAGAAAATTCATCAGTTTATTTTATAATTAAATTCTATATCAGCTTTGAGCTTATGTTAATTAAATTCTTAGCTTGTTCTGTGTGATGAGAAGGTTCCGTTAAGTTCAAAGCCCATTTTCTTGGAAAAGTGATTAGATCAACTGTGCTGTGGTTCCAAGTGTTGGCCCAATAAATGACAAAAACGTCTGAGAAATGAGAATGCTAAGATGGACGTCTTGGTCATTCTAAAATGAATAAGATAAGAAATGAGACTATAGCTAAAGAGGCTCTCATTCTTGCAAGAGACAGAGTCTTCTCTTAATAAGTCATAACAGGGAGGGCTACAAAAAAAATAACATGGCCTATGGTATTTGCTAAAGATCTAATTGCTTTAGATTTCGTACATCAACCATACGGAGTTGCTGAAAAGGATTTGTGTGATTGACTTCAAATTTATTGGGAACAATGTTTAGTTTGTTGCTGTTGTTTGTGTAGAATCTAAACTCTCACCATAACTGGCAGTACATGCTTCCGAAATAAATTTCAAAGGAATATTACCAATCTCAACTTTTCAAGAAAGTAGGTTTTGTGTTAGAGAATTATGCAAAATTATGGTACTTTAATCATGTTTGTAGATGCAATTGAACTTTTTCTGTGTCTGTTTCTTTATATGGATGCTGATGGATTTATGAACTACTCAATTCTTTTATAGGATCCAGTAAAAGTAATCCGGCTTCTGCACCTAAAGGTCTCCAAAACGAGAAGCTGCCTATACCTTCCCAGCCGGCAAATGTCATGCTTAACGAGGTTTGTCGTCCTCCTGGAATATGTCCAACTGGTCATAGGAGGGAAGATCTGTGGAGAGATAGAAGTCTGGATCACTCAAATAGTACCCATTCAGAACCATTTGTCGCATCTCAGATTCCTGGCCCATACCCATTTTTGGGTTTTACTGATTCATGGTCTCACTCTCTCTCGTCTTCGGCAAAGCCCACAAGTTGCTTTACTCAAAAGATAATCCCATTCTCAGCATCTATCAACTCTGCTACAACAAGCCAAGGAACGTTTGGAGACAAGTGGAAAGTTAATGCTAGTTCTAAATTGAACCCGAGCTTGGAAAATGATGTGACATCCCGGAATGGATTTCACCATGGCCCTGTTTCAGGACCCAAAGAACGTGTTCACTTGACTTCCGATGCCATTGATTATTTTAACTGCATCAAGGGTGATAATGTAGCATTTTACCATTCTACTAATCATGAATGTGAGAAGTTTCTGAAAGGCTCGACTCATATGGATAGGAAGCCTGCCTTAGATATTGACTTGAATGAGGTAGTTTTGAAGAGCTCATCAAATGCGGCAACTTGTCTGCAAGATCTCAATAAGATGGATGGAAAAAGTAAGTCTGCTGATGTGTCAACATGGCCTTGGCTCAAATCGAAGCTATCCTACAAAAATGAGGCTGCCGATACCAGTTCAGAACTCTCGGGAAGTTTGGCAAACCTTCAAGCTTCTTCCATTCCACTATGCTGCAAGAGCGAAACGGTGAGAGATCTTAATCAAACATTTCCCCCAACCGTCATGTCAGCTTCAAGTGATTGTGAGATTGTGAACATACACGAGACTCGGAATATTAAGAAAATTCTGGGGTTTCCCATTATTGAAATACCGAGTGTTCGTACATCTGTGCCATCATCCCATGTTTCCACCTCGAGTATTTGCCCTCCTGAAGGAAAAATTTCCACAAATGAAAGAAAAAATGGAATTATAAATATTAATCTAGCTTGTGAGTCAGATGAGCAGATAGCAGCAGAACAGATTGTAGAGAGGAAAATACAGACAAAAGGTAGCTGTATGAGAAATCTTATTGATTTAAACTCTTGCATCAGTGATGATGAAGATCCACCCGCATCCTTTGTTCCAAGCAACAGTGCCGTTGCAAAGACATCATTCGAAATAGATCTAGAAGCCCCAGTTATTCTGAAGAGTGAGGATGACAATGAACCATCCAGAGAAGATTTGCAGGTTGAGCCATCGTTGCTATCTTCTGAACAAAAAGCTGAACAAATAGAGGATGAAGTTGTAAGAAATGCAGCACAAGCTATAATAGCCATCTCATCTTCCAGTCAGCAAACTCTAGCAGAAGATAACCTTTTCCCCCCACCTGAGGCTTCATTGGAAGAACCCCTGCTCTGGTTTGTAGATATTATATCATCATGTGCAGTTGAACTCAAGAGCAAAGAATCAAGCAGGGATGGTGCACCAATTCGGGATCTCTTCGAGGTGATAGATGATTTTGAGGCCACAACTTTGCAACTGATAGAGATGAAAGAAGAAGAGTACATGCCTAAACCCTTTGTTCCTGAAGTCCAAAAGGTCGAAGGAATAGTACCTGATTCATTGCCAAATAGATCTCGGAGGGGTCCCGCGAGGAGAGGAAGGCAGCGGAGGGACTTCCAAAGGGACATTCTTCCTGGTCTGGCATCATTATCCAGACTAGAAGTGACCGAGGATCTTCAGACATTCGGAGGCCTGATGAGAGCTACCGGGCATCCTTGGAATTCTGGGTTGACAAGAAGGAATAGCACGAGAAACGGGGGTGCTCGGGGGAGGCGACGAACAGTGGTCGAAACAACCCCAACTATTCCAGTTTGCAATTCATTGATGCAGCAAATTAACAAAATTGAAACTGGTTTGGAGGATAGAAGTCTAACAGGGTGGGGGAAGACAACAAGACGTCCCCGTCGACAAAGATGCCCTGCAGGTAATCCTCCTACTGTTGCAATAACCTGATAATGGAAAAAAGGCTTTTAACTTTATTGATTCGGAATTCATCGAGGGAAATTAGACACCGAAGAACTTGTTATAGGATATTCGGGAATGAGGTCATGTTTCCTAGAGTTATTGTCTTTGTAAATGTCATTGTAGCTCATAATTCGACAGTGTGTGTTTTGTATCTCATTTATTCTGGATACAACATTGCTTCAAAGATGTGCATTTGTCTTCTTAGAGAGGTGAAACACGTGGAATGTTTTGTTAGAAGCAGGTTCTACTTACCCCGTGCCTTGCGTTGAAAAAAGAAAACATGAAGGATTTAGAATAAAGTCTCCATGCTGGTTGTCGATCCGTGTGGCCTCCTTTTCAGTAGCAATGTAGAGAGAGAGAGAGAGATTGTATGGCAAATCAGCTCGAGAGTGAATAGTCTGGCTCATGACTCGGGGGGTAAATGTGAATACAAAATACAAGTTTGGTACGTAGAATTGGATGTAAGCGAACAGTATGAACCATATATTTTTTTTTCCGTTCTTCAACATTATCCATTAATATCTAATTCACTCTATCAAACCTGCCAAAAGGGTGAGATAACGCATTCCCAAAACCCTCGGCCAGGATTGGAATTAATTTGGAACTCAACATTGATATGGATCTGTACTCGATAATAATTGTGCATTGCGACAATAAATGATCGCAATAATTATACTTTCGCTCTGTATTTCAATCAGCAAAGTTTAATTGGATAACTGCACTTTAATTTGATTCCAATCAAGTAATTAATTATACATTAAATTGATATCAAAATTAAATTATGGTTACCAAGTTGAAATAATATTAAAATATAGTTACCCGATTGAATAAAATTCAAATAGAATTGATAGATTGAAGAGTGAAGAAATAAAAAAAAACATCTTTCTCAACTGATGTACAAGTTTTTTTTTTTCCTAATTAATGAGACGACTTGTAATTTGCAGATAATTTTCTCAAAAAAATGTTTTTGTTATTGCTTCACTATATAAATTGTACTTAATTCTCTCTTAGAGATCAAATATAGCTTAGCCAATAAGAGAAATTAAACGAAACTGGATAAGAATCTCTGCATTCAGGATTACGTGCTCATGTAAAAGTGATTATTTAAAAAGTGACTTTTTTTTAGAGAGTGTTAGTTGAAATGTAGAAAAAAAGTTATGAAAAAATGTGAAAATGATCTACATCTGCTTGATTAAATCCTGCATTCATCCGGTGATAACACGATCCTGAAATGTCTGCTATCAGAAATCGATAAGGCACTGCAAACAATATCCTTCAAATTTTTGTGAAAAACAGATCTAAATACGAGTCATTTACAGAATTCCTCCCGCAGATGTATTTGTCGATTGATATTGAGCTCTTCATTCTTCAAGCATGGCCTTAGCAGCATCAATTAACACTGGACGTATATCAGCCGAGGCTCGACCAAGAACTGTGTATCCTTCTTTGTCCTCAGCATCCACATTCGCTCCATGTCTTATAAGAAGGAGAGCTACCTGCGAACCAAACGAGTAAATTTAATGAACACTCATTGAACTTTAAACTTGTTACTACTTACTCATTCATCTTTAATGGATTACTCAATGCACACTCATCTTTCCATATAATTATCCATCCACCACTCATTTAACTATTATCTCTCCAAATGGATGGAAAAGTACACGTGGCAAACGGCAATCTTACATAGCGTGCTAATGTAGTTAACCGTGTGCATGTCACCAAAACTCCTCCAACCAAACACACTTTTATCTTCCTCAAATCAAAATCCCCAATTTAAAACCCCGACTCCAAACCCCCCCAAACCAGAAATTCCAATTAGAAGACACCTGTTCTCAGCTCCGCTGCAAACCTATTAATTCGGTAGGTCATAATAAGAAAACGACCTGGCCGGCGGTGCACCCAGTGGGGGCTGCATGGATGAAGGTAGAGGCCCCTAGCATCGTCAGTGTGAAGGAGGCTGCTCGTTTTGCATATGAATAAGAAGAGCTACAATGGCTGGATGATAAAATGTCCAAACATAACACAATTACCCGGCCGGCAGTGCACCCACTCTATGATGCTACTTGCCCATATCTTAGTATTGTTGTCACCTGTTGGAAAAATAGATGCCAGAAATGCCACGCTGATTTCAGGGGGCCAATTTTGAAGAAGGAACTTTGATTTCAAATGCCATGGATCAGGAGAGAAATGTCGTGAAAATAGTTTTGGAGAAATTCCAAGTTGTCAAGATTTAACGACATGTATTTGCCACGTTTGATTTCTATTTAAATGTGTATTTTTCCATTCATTTGGAGAGGAGAGTTAAATGAGTGGTGGATGGATAATTATATGAAAAGATAAGTGAGCATTGGGTAACCTGTTGAAGATTAGTGAGTAAGTAGTAACACGTTTAAAGTTAAGTGACTGTTCATTAAATTTACTCCGAACCAAACACAGTTAGGGAAGGAACAACTTTACCCCCCTCCCACCAAAAAAGAGAAAAAGTAGAATAACCCACTCCGGGATATGCTATTAAGAGTTGGTTACCAAGCTAGATTGGTTCTAAGCTTCAATCTTTTTTCTCTATTTTATTAAATTTGAGGAAGATGTTCGACTTGCCGGAACCCCATCTTGTACTAATAAAATTTTGAATCTATAGCCGGTTGGGTTGGTCTGACCAAGATATGCATGGGATGTTGGCCATGGAAAGCTTCCAATTCCATATTAAACAAAATAGATAGGGCTATTTTGTGGTTCAGAGCTCTTGATATTTTAGCTAGCTTTAGGAGTTTTCATCCTCCCTCTTTCCAGAAGCTTGATTAAGCTTGTGAACTATATTATATAACTATGCGACAGGTTTGATTTAGCAGAGTCAAGGTGTAATTCGCAGATCTCATAAAACTAATTAGAATTTATGTGGGAGGTTTTGCTATAGAAGTCATTTACCTAATTTGTAGATTGCTATAAAATAACACAGCAAAGAAACAAATTTTCGAAATGAGTTCTATTGATTTAAAGGAAAATGTTATTTAGGAATAAGAAAAACACAAATTTTGGATATGATGTTATTTGTAAACAAAATTAGTGATCCCAAAAATTCCCCACCCCCAATTGGCCGCAATCTAAAGTCGAAATTTGTTCCATATTGTAAATATATAAGATGAAGCAGCAGCAGTTAGTTGTAACAATGCAATTAATTTGACAAGACCTTATTCAAACAGTCAAGATGAGTAGCAAGGCCAACTGCAGTAGATATCAATAAGAGTTCGCACAAGTATCAATGCTATTAATATATATCATAGGAACTTCTAGTGATGTACTTTGAGACCTTGAAAATTTAATTACGAAAAAGAGGATATATGCCAACAGTTACCTCTTTGTTATGGCATATCACTGCATCCATAAGTGGAGTTTGACCTGCTTTATCAACATCGTCAATCTCTGCTCCTTCCTCAATCAAGAATTCACATAACTCTGCATTCCCCGTGCTAGCTGCACGATGCAATGGGGTGCATCCAACCTGCAAGGAATAGTTATTCAAAAGTCAACCTAGGTAGATACATCAATGTCCTAACCGCATTTGAGACAAGCAAATATGCACATGCAAGCAAACATCCATATGCATGCTTGCGGGTGTTGTGTACGTAGAAGGAATACATCTGAATGCGATTAACTTCAGGCAGACACTCTCTAAGAATACTGTGCTATAAATCAATAATCAGGCATAAAGATACAAGCCTTATCCTTCAGGTTGAGCTTTGCACCATGTGAAACCAGAAGTTCAGCTATTTTTAACCGACCCTTACTAGCAGCATAGTGCAGGGCAGTGCGACCACCATCATTTTTCAAATTAACATCAGCTCCTGTTCATCAGCATTTCATTTTCAGATTGAAGGACTGCTTCATAACAGTTGAACAGAACTAAAAAAATTAAGGAAAAACGAATACTTCAGACAACATTAAATTAAGGTTAAGTACCCTTAATAGGAATGCCCTAGAGCAAAGACTTCTCCCACGCGGTCTATGGTGTTGACGGAGAGAAGAGCTCATAACCGATATCATCATAAATTAGTAAGTAAATGAAGATTCTAGATTACGTACTGATCTCCTTTACAAATTTCATTGATGAGTTTCAGCACACAAATAGTGTAGTGTGTCTGTTACTAGATATTTGTTCCTTTAGCTTAAATACTTCAGAGTTCAGACAGATTAAAAAAATAAAATTATAGTCTAATTAATTAGCACTTTCAATGTTTCACATATACATAATGCTCATCTTCATCGTTTCTCGCCACTTTCCTTGCACAATCACTATCATCCTCTAAAAGTATGTCTATTCTCTTCCATAGAAATCACATATAATTGTCAAGATTTAATTCTTTAAAACTAGTTGGAATGCTGCTTCAGAATATCCAATATCAGGTTAAAAAAAAAAAAAAAAAACTACAATTAAATAATTGTCCACCTCTGTTGAGTAAAATCTCCACAATTTTGAGATTGCCACTGCTCGCTGCAGAGTGCAGAGGTGCCCAACCTTCTTCGTCGGAACTGTTCACAATTGACGGGTTAGCAGTTGATAGTCTCTCCACCACCTGATCCAATCCCAAACACAAACCACACTTAGCAAAGAATCAACTCTCCTAGTTATCAAGGTCTGGATGTCATTCCCCAGATATCCGTAAAATGCTCGCATCCCCCCTTTTTTATATTGAAAATTAGAACAAGAATTAGAAAAAAGAAGAAAACAAATCGATAACGCCAGAGGGGACTCAATTCGTCTTGCCAAATAAAGGTACAGCCTTCAAAGCACAAGGTACTAGTAACAGGTCGATAACTTCTTCAGAATCATATAGTTAAAACTTAAAACTATGCATCATCCAGCTAGTAACAATAATATAAAAAATTACCATTGAAAATTTGTTAAGATTCGGTAAAAATGAAAAAAAAAAAAAAAAAAAAAAAAGNNNNAAAAAAAAAAAAAAAAAAAAAAAGACCTCGGTTTGGGCGGTAGAAACGGCTACGTGCAGGAGGGTACGACCATCTTCATTGCGGAGAGAGAGAGCTTTGAGAAGCTGTTCTTCAGATAGCGATTTGAAGAGCGATGAATCGCCCGATTCTGCTCCCTTAAATAGTTCTTTCTCTTTGATTTCTCTTTCTGGCTTCGAATCGATCTCCATTTCCATCGGCGTTCACTGTGTGTTCTGCGTGTTTTTTCAGGGTTTTTGCTGCAAGTATAGAAGGGAGAGGGAATCTGGCGCCTTCCAAAAGTAAAGGGTAAAATGGTCATTTGGGTTTCCATTTAACAAAAATCAAATTGGCAATTTTTGAAAAACACCCAATTTTAAGGATTTTTGGGGGAAGAATTGATTTTGAATAGTGATATGATGGGAAATGTGTGGTTGAAAAAGAAGAAAAAAGTATTGATGTGATGGAAAATATTATTTTATTGAAGAATGTGTGGTTGAAAATGAGAATTGATTTGAGAATTGATTTAAGAATCAGAAACAAACAGGGCCTAAGTTGATAACATTTAGTCACTGTTACGCTTGTATCCTCGACTTCTTTTCATCGCATTTTTATCATCAACTTTTTATTAAGTAGCACATTTGTCAAAATATGCATGATAGCCGAGCCGACTTGCCTCACAGGGCCAATTTTACATATCCTAACGTGTGTTTTAGTGAAAGATTGAATGTTTTATCTTCTACTAATCGTCGTCCCATGCTGGATGGGGAGGTTGAAAGTCCGCAACCCTGTCAAATGTTCCGTACACATTCTTATTTCTTGAGGACTTGTTAAAGCAGTTGTGCCTAGGAGGTTAAGTTAAACGAATTCTAAATCTCGAATAATTAGTTCATTTGACATAACAAATTCACCTCGATTTACACATACGCAAGTACATTAAAACATTTGGAACAAAAAAAATAGTCAACAATATTTTCTTTCACACAAAATAATAGAATTATCAATTCTTGAGGCAGTCATCACAATATTTTACAGTTGCCTTATCCTTTTAAGTCTTCCCTTCAACAGCAGATATGTGTTAGAGGAAGCTTCCCAGTTGATCTGATTTTATTTGCCTTGTTTTTCACTTTGTCTTCTTCATCTACTCGATTTTTATCAGCCTTTTTAGATGCTCCTTTCGCAATATCTTCTATTCTTGTTACTTCACTGCTGTAGCTCTGCATTGCCCTTGTTCTTCTCTTGTCCAATTCAGCCTGCAAAATTATTAGATTTTCTCAATATTTGTAATTATTATTGGATAATATCGCACGTAATCAAGCATTTATATTGAAGCAAGTTTGATGAGAAATCACCTGTGTTCTATCTAGTTTGTTTTTAGCCTTCTTTTTCTTCTTTTCCTCCCAGTTTTCTATAACCATAATCAGCTTCTGATACCTGTTGAAATCTACTTCTTTATAAACAGATCACTAAGAAAAAATTAAAGCGAAAAAATGAATTAGTACCTTTGTTTAATTCTAGCTCTCTCTGCTTTTTCCCATGTGTCTGCATCAGTTTCTCCAGGTCCAAGTTTTCGTGAACTCTGCCGTGTCTGATCCGTGAGTGGTGGTGGCCGAGCTGGAGAAGTTGTGGTCCTTCCCGCAGCGTCTTTCTTGGGTGGCACTGCATCTTCAAGTTGGATACTGGTGGTTGGTTTGTTATCAGGAATAGGTGGCGCTGGTCTGACTGTGGTGCCGCCTGCCTCTTCAGGTTTGTTAGTGGTGGTCGTTTTTTTATCAGAGGAAGTTAGTTTTTTTCTGATAGATGACGCAGGGTCAACTATTGTGTAATCTGGTATCTTTTTCTGATCCATGGTAGTTGATTCTTCATGTGACTGAACTGCAAAAGCAGCTGCGGCCACCGCGGCCTGGTAATCCTCACCTCTGAAATCATAATCCCAACTCATTGATCTAGAAAACCGTTTTCTCATCCAGCCGTGGCTTTTCTTTTTCTCTGCAAATCATGGTGTATTTTTATTGTTTCATCTAAAATCTAAGTTGAACTGACACGGATAATTTTAAAGTTATATATGTTTTAATACAGGACACTGCACGTGCCTTGTTGAACACATGTCTGAAAGAATGTCCCTCAGATATCTTCGAGAAGTAGAAATTTACAAAACATACAAGACATAGGGTATAATACGTGATTATCAGACCACATATCATGGAAGAGCGTTGGTGATCATAGTCTAAATTGGTTTATTCTTATTATAGCAAAAAGATTCTAACCTCCTCTGAAGGATTGAGTTTTTTGAGGTTTTATTTTTCCATCTCTTACGCTGCTGCTTTCTTCTTTGTTTTCCTCTCTTGCACCAGAAATTTTCATCCTACAGAAGTGGTCAGTGATGATCAGATAAAAATATTATAGAAATTGAAAGTTTCTGAATTATAGCTAAAGCGTTTAGACGAATCCGTGTTGAAATAAACACATTTGTTCACAAATAACTTGTAGGTTCTCGATGAGGTGGTTCAAGAATGAACTACCTTGTTTGCTTAATCAAGCGCTCCATTTGTGCCGCCCGTTCGTAATTTGAAGACTATTTTCACGTCTGCAAGCAATATTTCTTGGAGGCAATTCAAATAGACAGTGGAACAAGGAATAGTTTTTTGAAGTTCATGGATGGAATCAAGCAACCTGTACAAACTTTACATGCAAGAAAAAACATACTTTTCTTCTTTTTAATGGTAACTTTTCAGTGCAGTTTTTTAGACCCTTTCTCACAAGTTATTCTCAGATGGTCTCTCTCTTTAACATAGTGTTCTTGGCTCCAATATTCTTGATTGTAACAGTAAAACAGTAAGTAAAATTAGTAGACATAAAATTGATTAATATATGATTCTTATATACTGTTCAAGAAACTTAAAGCCTAAAAACTCATCCAAGCTTTCATTATTAGCTACACATGTACGATCTTGCGATGTCGTGGTAGATAGATTTGTTTCAGCAATAAACAAATAAAATAAGAAATCAAAACTTGAATGGATTCTTTTATCTAAAATAAAAACTCTTGAGTCCGAGAGTTCTAGGACTTGGTGGATGCCAATTGGGTTCACACCTGGGTGCAGGGGTGGAGGCAGGGGGGTCCTGGGTGGGACCCAGACCCCCCCCCCCAATTTTTTGACAATTTTTTTATTTTGTATTTTCCCAATTTTATCCTCAAATGAATAAAAAACTTAAACCCCACCAATCCAAAAACTTAAACTCGAAAGGAACACTTGTAATAAGGTATGATTTTGCTAAATTAAAGATTAGTACTTTATTTTATATTT